TTAAATAATGGTATATTAATATATATTTATATGTATTCAATTATATATTTACCATTCAAACACTTTATACCAAATTGAGTCAGTTTTATCATTATTTATTTTATTGATTCATCATGGAATCACATTTAGTTCTGGTAGTTTTTCTTAAAAAATATGATGTATAGTGAATTTGAACTATCCATGTAGATTAAAGAGTTTGCTTTGCCAACAGGTCTTTAAATACTTTTACATGTCTTTCCTACAGTGTCTTTTCTGAGTTCTTAAAATATATGGCTTTTTTCTAAAGGAACTTTGTATGTCTGCTTTTATTGCTCATGACTGATTAGAAAGGTTTTGGCTACCTCTGAAATATATTGACATTGGTTTCAAATTCTTGCTCAGTTTGTGACAGTTCGACAGGTGGGATTTGGATTTAGGAGCCATTCATTTGTAAACCTCTGGGATGTCATAGTAACTGCACTATTATTTCATTTTTTAAAAAAACTACTGAATGTGAAAACTAGCACATAAAATTAAATTTCTGATTTAGTGAAGAGTCAATTAATTCTTTCATTATTTTACTTTTAGGCCTTCCTTGTGAACCTCCACCTTCAATTTCTAATGGTTTTGTGTCTCAAGAGTTAGAAAATTATAAATATGGAGAAGAAGTTACATACAACTGTTTGGAAGGATTTGGAATTGATGGACCTGCTTTTATAAGATGTTTGGGAAAAAAATGGTCCACTCCACCAGTCTGCATAAGTATAGTGTATTTAAGATTATTTTATGTGTAATGACCTTCCCAATTCAATGTGTAAATGGTAATTTAGAATTTTACAAGGTATCACTTAAAGGTTCTGGAACATGGCAGAAAATTTTAGCCCTAATGATAAAAAATCCAATATGATCACCCATATCATTTCATTATCACATCATTTTCTACGATCTATCAGAATCCTCTGATTTATATACCCAGGGTTCTCCTCTCTGTTCCTAGAGCATAGCCTCCCCTCCTCATCAGACTCATCATTATTCAGTCAGTTGTCGGTGATCTCAGTACAAATATGTACTTTGGTAAAATTTTGAAACAAAGCAACTTACGTTTGAAAAGAGGCAAAAAGTAGAAATAGGTAATATACATGGCAAGTATGGACAAAATAACCTGAGTGTAAAAAGTGTGATCTTAAGCATTACACCACTCATATTTCTTGAGACATCTGATATTACCATCTTATACTGTACTTCTGATAAATTTTCAGAGTCAATGTAATTAAGTAAAAGTTTTATATCTTTCCAACTTATAGGAAGCATACTGCATATAACTAAAATTGTTTTAGAATATAATTATTATATACTATGTGCTATAAGATTCATTGAATGAATAGATATTGTTTGTTCCAATCTTTTCAGGAACAGATTGTTTTAATGTGCCCACCTTTGAAGGTGTCATACTTGTAGGACAGAAGAAGGAATTTTACAGGTCGGGAGAACAAGTGACTTATGGATGTCCACAATTTCACTACTTGGATGGTTCTAATACTGTGACATGTGCTAATGGCAAATGGATAGGCGAGCCAAAATGCAAAGGTATTTGGATAGAATTTACAAGAAATTATTAAGTTATCTTGGGAAATATAGAATGATCTCTGGCACCATTAAAATAAATAAGTTAAGTTTTAGGCCAAAACTAAGTGTATGTTTCAAAATAAAGAATGAAATTGAATAACCAGTAGTTAATGTCACAGCCCAGTGGCCCTCAAAATGTAGTCCCTGGACCATTGAATCATTATCTTTCAAAATTGTTACATACACACAAAAAAATTCATGTGCTCATCTTAGGCCTACTAAACCAAAACATTTACAGTTAGGACCTTGAAAGTTTAGTTTTTTTAAGTAAAGTTTTCCAGAGAAGATTATGCCTACTTCAGTTTGTGAGCCATTGGTATAACCTATTATTATTATCCGCTCACATAAAGTACTCTGATGCATTTTACATTGTCCATCTTAGTCTCCTTAAACACTTCCAAAAATATTAAAGCACTGTTTTTATTTTCTCACATCACAGTCTGGGTTTTTTGATTAAACATGTTCTTCTTTTATCTACGGCATTCTTCAAATTGTGCTCTTAATTCGTATTCTCCAACAGCATGCCTCTTTGCATTTATTTTTAAGAAAAAACTAAAAAGCAGTATGATTATTCACAGAAGATTAATCTCATTCTACCATCTTCTGATTTCTTTTTTGCATTTTCAAATTCACGCTGCATTTACAGAACTTGTTATTTTTATTCTATTAAACTCAGAGGGAGTTTATCAAGAAATTTTTCCACTGGCTTCTAAGGAGTAAAACGTGTGTCAGTGTTGCAGTGAAAAATTTTAAGAACATAAAGCTTAACTCTTACAAAAATATTGCTGTGTCTTTTTTTTCCCTCACATTACATGTAAACTTACTGAAATCAGCAACATCCTTTATGACTGATTTTCAGTGCTTCTTGAGATATATTTGGAATTGCATTCATTTTTTGACTACTTAAAATGGATAGAGTTAATTTTTTTCCCTTTGCATTCAGATAATTTCTGTGTGAATCCACCAATAGTGAAAGATGCTACTATAATATCAAGCCAGATGACCAGGTATCCACCTGGGGAAAGGGTACGGTATCAATGTAACAAACCTTTTGAAATATTTGGAGAAGTAGAAGTAATGTGTCTAAATGGAACTTGGACAGAACCACCTCAGTGTAAAGGTAAAGTAGCGTATTTCTCAAAACTATTTTGGAGATACAATATGAATAAAATATGTTGTAAGAATAGATTAAAGTAATTCTTGAAGAATGTATTTTAATGCAAATAAAGTGATACTGTTAATATTTTAACTCTTTCATGGCTCGAGCAAAGAAGTATGATATCATTAGGATATAATTTCATTTCAATCTGATTAAAGGAACAGTTGCAATATGGGAATTTTTTATCTAAAACATTAAGACACTTAGTCATTTCCTAAGGAATGGATGCATAAAAGATATATTCTGTGCATTTGACAGCTGTGAAAGATAAGCACTGTGAGATGTGGAATAGGTAGTTGAGCACGGATCATGAAATGGGATATAAACTTGGGCATCTTCAGTGTGGGGTTGTATTTAAAGACATGGGACGATTGAAGGTATCCCAAGAATTACCGTATTAACAAGTTTAAGCACTCAATAATGGGGTAGTCCAATATTTAGAGTTTAAAAAATAAGGAAAAAAATTCTACTTTTAAAAAATTAATTAGTTTTCTCTTCTTCTATTTAGATTATTGCTGTTTCTCATGTTGAAGTGAGTTTTAGGTAGGAAGCAGATATTTGGATCTTATTTACCTATCTACCTTCATATTCTTGGTTTTATAGCTAGTATATTTAAATAATTTACATTTAAAATAATTATCGATATATTAGGGGCTTTGTCTGTCAATTTATTTGTTTGTATTTGTTTTCTCAGTGCTATTTCCCTTTTCTTTCCTTCCTTTTGGAGAACATTTTTAAAGAATTTCATTTTGATTTGTATTTGTTGTTTTTGATATATCTCTCTGGTAACATAACTAACACTATCTTTTTTGAGAAGTTGTTTCTACGTGTACTGGAACATATATTTCTTTTCACTCTGTAGTATTATTGTCATTTTACACTTCAATTGCAATATGGAAACTTTACCTCAATTTAAATCCATTTATCTTTCTCTTATCTTAAATCAAAATTACTTTAGTATTTCCAATACATGCTTAAGGAATAATTACCAAATGATATAATTTTGTTCCAAACATTAAACATAACTCGATAAACTCATGAGGAGAAAAAGAATTATTGTATACCTTTATTTTGCCAAGTACATAGTTCTTTTCTTCTTCCTGAAGTCACAATCTACTCATCTTTTTCAATTCTATTTGAAAAATGTCCTTAGTTATCCTCTAAGGGTAATTCTGAGGTAAACACATTCTCTTGGTCTTCCTTTAATCATTTCTTTATTTATACCTTTGGGTAGGGTCAACAAATATAGAATTTGAGGTTCTGTCACCTCCTTATATGGCTTCCATAGTCAAGTTAGGAAGTCCACTGTCACTTGAATTCTGGTCTCCAATAGGTAATGCACAGTTTCTCTTTGGCTGTTTCATTACAATGTGTATTAGTGTGAGTTTCATTATGATGTGTATTGGTGTGAATTTCACTGAGTTCATGCCTTATTTCAAATAGTAAAACTATTTTTTTTTTCAAACTAAATGTCCTTACTTCTGTCTCATGGGTCTCACACTTTTTTTTTCTACAAGTCTCTGAGATTAATCCATATTTTGATTTTCAGTCTGAATAATTTCAACTCTCCTAACTTCAAGTTCAAAGATTCCATTACTTCCAATCTGTTAAACCCATCCAGTGAGGTTCCATTTTGTTTTGTTTCTGTTTTCCATTCCTGTTATACTTATCAATTCTAAGTTCCTTTCAGTTCTCAGTCTCATTGTCTGTGTCATGTCTGTGTTCTCTTTTGTTGTCTTCTCTGATCTTTAATGTGAGCGAATTTTAATTTTATTCTAGACAGTTTGGGTATTACAGTTTGAAACCCACATTGTTATGGCAAGCTCCTGTTTAGTGGTTTGCCATGACTTTCATGCTGTTTAAGTCCAGGGTTTCAGGACTGTTTACATCCTGCTGTTATTACAGGTGAAGAGTCAGATGTCTGACATCTCAGTGTGTAGGTTTTCTGTGACAGCCTATAGAAGTTGTCAGTCAGTGCTTTACAGTGATTTCTCTAGAGCAGGTGAGATGTTATTTAAAACAATGTTTTGGTCTTGCTAAGTTGTGCCTTTCTTGATCCTTCGGTTAAAGAACTGAATCTCCTCTTGGGATTTTCTTCACATATCTGAATCTAGCATAGTTCCTGGACTATAGTCTTCTCCAGTGTCACTTACAAGATACTCGGGACTTTAAGGTAGAATTCAAACCACACACTGATCTGCCGTTCCTTCACCTATGAAGTTCCTGTGCTGATTGAATTCTCTGATTGAATCTTCCTAAATCTTATGTTTTTAAAATATTTTTAAATATTTAAAAATTTTTATTGAATTTCTTTTTGTTGTCCAGTACTTAGTATAAGAAATGCATAGAAATGTTTTGTGCTCATCTTGCCTGTATCAGGAAGCCATTATTTGGGCTGGGGATCTAACTCAGCGGCACAGCGCTTGCCTGGCAAGCGGAAGGTCGTGAGTTCAATTCCCGGTACCGGAAAAAAAAATTTAAAAAAATAAAAGGAAGCCATTAATCCTTTTTACCTTGTACAAATAGCATGCTTTGAATGTTTCAAGAGTTGATGTGTCTTTTATAATGGAAATAAGAAAAATTGATTAGCAACACAATGAACACTACAGAGTGGTATATATAGGAATAAGATGCTTTTACTTCTGTTTTATCTATCTACCTTTTCAGCCTTTATTTAATACATTTTCAATACTGTAGCACTGCAAAGCAGGCAAATTTGTGGATATGTACCTTCAGGAAGGTCAAAGGTAGGGTTTAAAAATATAACTCAGTTTATATGATTGTAGTTTCTTCAAGCAATCATTTCTGGTAACAGAAATCACAAAAGTCTTGATACTATGTATAGCACAGTATTTGTGTTAGCTTTTAGCCTGTATTTTGGTTTGTCTATCAATAAATCAAATGATTTTTTTTTTAGATTCTACAGGAAAATGTGGGCCTCCCCCGCCTATTGCCGATGGCGACATTACTTCATTCCCTTTACCCGTATACCCCCCGGACTCATACGTTGAATATCAGTGCCAGTACTTGTATCAACTTCAGGGTGACCAGCAAATAGTATGCAGAAACGGAGAGTGGTCCAAACCACCGAAATGCTTGAGTAAGTACTTCAGTGTTCTCAGGGATCCTGGAAAACTCAGTGCAAGGAATCGGGTATTTCCTCTCCCTAACAGAACACTCAGAGTAACAAACAACCGCTGAATGGGTGACAACCACATATGAATATGTAAGGAAATAAAAGCTAGAAAAATCTTTTTATATTTTATTTTTCTTTTTTTTTTTTTTTTTTTGGTTTTTCTCCGGTACCGGGAACCGAACTCACGACCTTGTGCTTGCCAGGCAGGCGCTTTGCCACTGAGCTAAATCGCCAGCCCCAAAATCTTTTTATTTTAATATTTAATTGATGGATAAATTGTGTATATACTCAAGGAACAAAGGGTGAAGATTTTTTAAGGTATATTTTACTTTTAGTTTTATATTGAAATATGTTAATTGTCTCCATCAATTACAGTCAGTCTGATATTTTCATATATGCATACACCATGCACTCATCAAGTCTAACCTCCCTGTTTCTATCTTCTATTGCACATATACCCTTCCAAACCTCCATTAATCTATTATTGTATCTTCAAATTAACTTGGCTTACTTTCCATGTATGAGAAAGAGCACACATTATGTGTTCTTGTGTTTGGCTTATTTTACTTACTGTTCTTCAGGTGTATGTGTTTTGCTCTAAATGATAAAATTTCAACTTTTTGTGGCTAAATAACATTCCATTGTGTAAATGTACTATATTGGCTTTTTCATTCATCCATTGCTGAGAATCTAGACCGATTCCATATCTTAGTTATTATGAATAGAACAGTAGTAACGATAGTCATGAGGCTATCTTTGGGCATACTGATTATTTTTCCTTTGGATATATATACAGGAGTAGGATAACTGGATCATATGAGAGATCTCTTTAGTTTTTTGAGGAACTCTGGTACTGTTGTCTGCAATGATTGTATTAATTTATATTCCCAACTCAATGTGTAAGAATTTCTTTTTCCCCAACTCTTCACCAGCATTTGCTATTTCTCAGATTTTTTTTTCTTTTTTTTTTTTTCTCCCAGATTTTTTTTAAATAACACATTTTACCTGGGATAGCATGGTATCTCTTTGTAGTTCCGATGTGCTTTTTCCTGATGGCTAATGATAGTGAATGTTTTTTGTAGATTTGTTGGCTGTAGTTCTTCTTCTGAAAAATACCTCTTCAAATCATTTGCCCAATTCTTAATTGGACTACCTATTTTCTTGTGAGTTACTAATATATTTTGGATGTTAACCTTCTGTCAGATGAATAGCTGGAGAATTTTCTCCAATTAAGTGAGTTGTCCCTTTGTTCAGTACATTGTTTTGCTGTGCAAAAGCCTTTCCATTTGATGGAATTCTGTTTCACAATATTTGCTTTTGTTTCCTGGGCCTTTGTGGTCCTATCCAGATAATCATTACCTAAACCAGTTTCTTGATGTGTTTTGCCAATGTTTTTGTCTCATGGTTTTAGACTTCTAAATCTTACATTTAGGTCTTTGATCCCCAATGAGTTGATTTTTGTACAGAGTGAGAGAAAAAAGTCAAGTTTCAATCATCTGAATGAAGCTATGCGATCTTTCCAGTACATTTATTTGAGAGGCTGTCCTCTCTCTAATATAGTATTTCTTTTTTGGAACCTAGATCAAGAATCATTTGGCTCTGAATATGTGGGTAAATATTTGGAATCTCTATTCTTCCTTTGGTTTTGTGTCTGTTTAATGCCCTGCCACATTCATTTGCTTACTGTGCTATTGTAGTATATGTTGAAATCAGATATTGTGCTGCCTCCAGCTTTCTTCCTTTTGGTCAAGATTGCTTTGGGTATTGAGGATCCTTTGTGTTTTGTATTAATTTTAAGATTATTTTCTCTTGTTTCTTCAAAGTTTACCACTTTAGTAACATATAATTTCTCATAATCCCTAACAAGCCTTTGTATTTCTGTGGTATCAGTTGTAATATTGCCTTTTTAATCTCCAGTTTTATTTATTCATGTATTCTCTCTTCACTCTTTTATTTGGTAGTCTAACAAAAGGTTTTCTGAAATTTTGTTTATCCTTTCCAAACACCAACTCTGTTTCACTGATCTTTTGTATTGCATTTTAAATACTATTCCTTGTGTATCTACTTTGAAGATTGTTGTTGTTTTCTCTGTCACCTTTGGATTTTAATCTATCTTACTTTTTTAGGTCCTTGATGCATTGTTAGGTTTTTTTAATTACAATCTATTTTTTTTATGTTGATGTTCATTTCCTTAAACTTCTTTTCTAGAACTGTATGTGATATATTATACTCCACCGGTTTTGGTTTCTGCTTCAATTTTTGTCTTTTTCAAAATATTTTTAAATTTTCTTTTTCACTTCTTTAATAAACTGCTTTTCATTCAAGACTTTATTGTTGCCAAGGGTAATGCACATACTTGTAAAGCCAGCAGTCTGGAAAACTGAAGGGAGAAGATCATAAATTCAAGCCCACCCTGGGCAACTTAGCGACTTGGCAAGACACTGTCTCAAAATAAAAAATACAACGGGTTAGAGATGTAGCTCAGGTTCAATTAGAGATAAAGGCCCCGGTTCAGTCTCCAGTGCTACAAAAGCAAACATTCAATAACAACAACAACAACATGCCAATTTGTTGTCTAGTCTTTCTGTATTCATAGAACTTTTAAAGTATTGTCTGTTTTTTATTTTAAATTTTATTTCATTGTGATAGCAAAAGCACAAAATATGCTATTCTGTACAAAGTTTCATACACTGAAGAACAGAATGTGTATTTCTTAGCTATTGAATGGAACATCCCTAAATATCTGCTAAGTCCTCGTGATATAGTTTAAATTTTTGTCTAGATGATTTTGTCTGATAATTCGGCTGCTTAGTCTGAATACTGATGAAACTCTGCTGTTGAAGTCCACAACTATTATTCTGTTGGATTATTGTATTTGAGCCTTTCTCTGCTTCTGGTCTAACAGTTTTTTGTTGTTTGTTTTGTTTTATAAAATCGGGTGCTCTGACAGGTGCATATAGATTTACAATCAATTTATCTTCTAGGCTAATCATCTTTTCATCACTACATAATGATTTTTGTCTCTTCTTACATTTTTTGTCTAGAACTGTATTTTTTTTCAGATATATGCATAGCTACTCCTACTTGCTTTAGATTTCCATTTCCTTGATATATCATTTTCCAGTCTTTGACTTTCAGTCTATCGATGCCTTTATTGGTGAATGGAGTTTCTCGTAGCAGGGTCTTGTAAATCCACTCATGCAGCTTGTATGTCTTAATAGAAGGATTTAGTTTACTTACATTCAAGGTTGTTACTGAAAAGTAAACATTTATTCCTTTCATATTTTTTAGTTTTATTCTAGTTATTTTGAGCATTTTGGGGTTTTTATTACTTTCTCATTCATCTTTCTAGTTTGATTCTTTATTGATATTTTTGGATTCATTTCTATTTCTCTTTATCTTCTCTTCTTTTGGAATTTATATATGCTTTCTTGGTGGCAGTTATCTTTCTTTCACTTCTGAATTTAACATTCTTAAGCATATTTTGTAAACCTGGTCTGTTGATAATAAAATCCCTTGCTACTTACTTGTCCTTAAGGTCTTTATTGCTCTCACTTTTCTGAAAATTTGTCTTTCTGAGAATAGTATTTTTGACTGGCAGTTATTTGTCTCAGAATTTAAATATGTAATTGCATTCCTTCCTAGTTTATAAGGTTGCTGCTGAGAAATTTACTTTTACTCTAGTGGAGATACCCTTAGATGTGATTTAGTGCTTTTCTCTCACAGATATTAAAATTAATTCTCTTGTACTTTTGAAAATTTGACATAGTATGTCATGTCAAAGATGCTTCCTGTTAATGTCTATTTGGGATCCTGCTGCCCCCTATATATGGATGTCCGTATGTTTCTCAAATATAAGGACATTTTCTTCTATTATTTCTGTACCCTTACACTTTATTCTCTTCTCCTTTGGTGTTCTGAAGTGCAAACCTTTTACTTAGTGTTGCCCCAAATGTCTTGAGTAGTCTCTTCATTCTTTTTTTTTCTACTGAGATGTCCCTAAAGACCTGTATCCCATTCAGATATTCTTTCTTACCCTTGGTTTAGTCTGTTTTTGTTCAACCATCTGTCCTGGTCAACATGAGGTGCTTTTCATTTCCTGGGTGCCTGGTTTCTTTTCAAAATCTCTTGGCGTAATTTTTCATTTGTAACTGTTTTGTCTTCCCAGTTTCATTCAACTGTTTATGCATATTCTGTTGGATAGCTTTGAATTTTTTATAAGTAGTACTTTCAATTCTTTTTCAGACTCTTCATCCATACAGTTTTTTTTGGCTCTCTCACTAGCATATCATTATATTCTTCTATAGGCATGCTATTACATTATTTCTTATTTCCTGTGACTCTGTATTGAGGTTTGTACATCTAGTGGATCAGTTATCTCTATCACATGTATGAGGGGAAAGATTTCTTAGTGGAAGCTCTCTTTTAAACATATATTTTTAGGTGTCAGTTTATGATGCATTGTTGGCTTTTATCCAGTGAGGCAGTAAAGCACAGTCTCCCTATAGCTTCTTTGGCTCTAATTCGCAATTGGAGACACATTGTGTATCACAGCAGATTTGAAGAGATGCAGCTTCTCTGAGGGCTATGCAATAGTCAGGGTACTCCAGCATGTCAGGCATGTGTAGTACAGAAAACAGAGAGTATGGAGTATTTCTTGTGTGGCTACTCCAAAAATGGGCATGGTGATTCTGATATGGTGATGGACAGGCACTGCTGATGTTCACACTGCCACTTTCAAGAGTCTCTGTCACTGGGTTGGGAACCAAAGAGTGGTGCTGTGTCTGAAGCACCTGTCCTCTAACTAGACAGTGGTGTGAGACCAGACTGTCTGAAGGAAGCCAGCTGGGAGCGCAGCAACCCCTCTGTGCACCTCTCCTCCAGCCATGACAGAAGCACATGCTGAGATGCAGGGTGGTGGCAGGAACCACATACCCAGCACGAACATAGGCAGCAGGAACTGGAGGATTCTGATCTGCTGCTAAATGCCCATGCTAGCCCAAGTATAGGGTGATGATTATAGCCATGGCTTTTGCCCCAGGACCTCCAGTTTCCTAGTGTGACAATTTGTTTTACTTACAATAAAAAGCTACCACACATTAATTGTACATTCATCTTTACCCATAGTGCCTATTGTGTGTGTGTGTGCGTGTGCGTGTGTGTGTGTGTGTGTGTGTTCTGAGAAATTTCAAATCTGCACTCTTGTCAATTTCCAGTTAACAATATAGTATTATTAACTAAAGTTACCATGCTGTACATTAGATCCTCAGATCTTACACATAGTATAATTAAAAGTTTATACCCTTTGATCAATGAGTGAATCAAACACAAACAGCTATACTAGAATCTAAAAAGCAAAGTTCTTAATGTAATTGATGCTATTAATCTTTCATAATAGCCTCTAATTATAGCACATTAGACACTACATTTTCACATCATTTACCATCTTAACTTTATTTAAATCTGTATGATATTCTTCCAGTTACTTGGAAAAGCATTTTGAGTAAGAAGTCCTGAAACATGAAACATGAAACATTCTAGTGGGAAACTAGACAGTCTTTATAGAAAATGTGTATGCTACTTAATAAATTATGGTCTTTTTTTCAGAACCATGTGTAATATCAGAAGAAATTATGGAAAAATATAATATAACTCTGATGTGGAAAAGAAGGCAGAAGCTTTATTCCACCCCGGGGGATTCTGTTGAATTTAAATGTAAATCTGGATATCATCCAATAACTAGGAAACCATTTCGTGTAGTTTGTCATGATGGTCAGCTGGACTATCCCAGTTGTGTCCCAAATGTACATTATATTAATTATGGATAAAGGCATTGGTATGTTTGGCTTTATTCAGAATTTTTATTAGTAATCCAGTTCTAAGTTTCATTTTTAAGTATTGTTCAGCTCATTTTTATTCATAAATGAGAATTTGGGTGGTTGTGCAGTGATGTGTTTAGAATTTGCGAGGTCAGTGGCACACTTCTTAAAATATTGCATTCAAACTTGGCAAAATGAAATGCTATGTATCCTTTTCATAAAACTGTAGCAAGAAATGTAATTACTTCAGTGTTTGTCTCTTCCCACTATCACTGTTTCAAATCTCGTACAGCTTTCTATATCACTTCTGAAGCTCACTGAGAGTCTTTGTTTCACAGTGCTTGAAAAGGATACTGTCACCACCTTTAAAATCCTATCACTCACGAACATGTGAAAAACAAAGCCACAACTAACTATAAATGTATGCAATTACTACTTATTACTTAACTATTAATGAATGAATGTAAAAATGATGACATATATGTACTTATAAAATATATTACTCTAGCACCTTTAATAATACAAACAAATCTGAAATAGAAGTTAAAGCTGAATTGTGCATATAACTGTATGAAAAACTTCTAGCCAGACTGAAAAAGAAAAATAAAATCATAAATGAAGAAAATACAATACAGACCTTTGTCCAAACTCATTTATTGAGGTCAGCACTATTGTGATACCAGAGGTACACAGGGATGGTGCGAGAAATTACAAGCCAGATATACCTGATGAACATTCAAGATGAATGTAGATGTAAAAGTTCTCAATTGGAAAACAATCCAACAATGTAATTTAAGAACAGTAAAACATGATAAAGAGTGATTTATTTCTGGGATACAAGGATGGTTTGATAAGTATCACTAAAAAACTTATATGCCACAATTAAGAGAATGATAGACAAAATTGTATGACTATCAATAGATGCAGAACAAACATTTGACAATAATAAATATGGTTCTGATTTTTATAAGTTTTGATAAATTTCATATAGAAGGAATTAACTCAAGACAATAAAGATCACACATATGTTGAGTATCCCTAATTAAAAAATTCAAAATCTGTAATGGTTCAAATTTTGAAATTTTCTGAATACTAATACTACATATAGAAAAATCTACAACATGATAAATTGTTCCATGCACAAAATTATACAAAATACTGTATAAAATTATCTTCAGGATATGGTTATAAAGTGCACAGGGGTGATTAAAACACAATGAACATTAAAATATAAAATACTAATTACAGTAAAAGGCACATTGCCAGTAATTATAAGTGTGTTCAAAGTGAGAGTATTTTGACAGGGATTATTGGCTATGTGTTTTGTGTTTAGGTCCAAGTCCCACAACGAAGATATCTTATTATATATATATAAAAATTTTAAAATCCAAAAAAGGTGACCCTAGTCATTTTGCAATAAGGATACTCCACTAGTATTATTAGCCCAAAATTAACAATGTATTTTCCTCTACAATCAGACTTAAGCCAAAAATGTCCATTATCTTAGTCCATGTCCTGTTATCATAATAGAATACCTGAGATTTGGTAAATATAGCATCCTGTGCTTAACTCCCACAGTTCATGTCCTCACTTTTTTTTTTTTTTTTTTTTTTTGCTTGTTTGTTTGGTATGATACAGGTTTGTTTTTTGATACAGGGTCTCACTATGTAATTTAGTTCAGGCTGGCTTGGATTCACTTTGTAGCCCAGAATGGCCTCAAACTCATGGTGATACTCCTGCCTCAGCCTCCTGAGTGCTTGAATTATAGGCTTTATTGTGACATTTTCATCTTGTTTTAGTCAGTTTCCTTGTTGCTGGGACAAAAATACTTGACACCCACAACTTTTAGGAGAGGTTTATTTTAGCTCATAATTACAGTCTATGATCAGCTAATTTCAAGACAGGAACAGCATGATGGCAGGGCACGGGCAGAGGACAGTTGCTCACACCATGGGATCCAGAAAGCAGAAAGAGCAGGGAGGAGCCAGTGAAGGAACTATGCCCTTCCAAGTTGCACTCTCAGGGACCCACATCTTCCCACCAGCAAGTCAGGCCTAGCACCCTCATAACCCAATCATCTTACAAACACATGAGGTCTGGGGACCATTTTAGAACTAAACCACAACACAATTCAATGGCCTCAAAACTTTAACTCATTCCAACATTAGCTCTAATATCCCCAGTCCAAAGTCATCTAAACTGGATAGAAGTAAGAATAAAAGCACGAATTTTACTGAGGTAAATTACCTATAGATCTGGAACAATAAAATGAAAACAGTTTTACTTCCTAAACACAATGCTGGGTCTGTCCTAAAATAGATATTTCCATTCTAAAGGCAGAAATAGTAAAGAAAGGAGTAAAAGAACCAAGCACATCAAAACCCAGTGCCAATGATGACATTTTTCTCACTTATTTTTGTTAATAAATGTTTGCAACAGAAAACAACATACGTCTTAAAGGTACATAACAATTTTACTTGATTCCGTGTCTTATTTCATCAGTGTCAAATCTGAGCCCTCAAGGACTTTAAAGCATCCATTCTAATAGCTTTGTTGGGCTCAGCTCACGCTTCATCCCTGATGCATTGGCACAGCTCTCACTTGTGAGGATTTCCCAGGTATCTCTTTCCCAGGCCCTACTATGCATTGCCCTAAGTAGGATTACTTTGGTGACTCTGCTACCATGGCAATACTAGGGACCATACTGGGTTCCCCCTCTTGTAGGTACCCTCCATCTTGACTTCACATTTTTTGTTTGGCATTATCCTAGTGGGAGCTCTCTGTGGTGGGCCAGCTTCTGTGAAAAGATTTTGCCTGAGGCACCAAATCTTCCTCTACAACCTTTGGAATCTACATGGTGACTGCCATACCTTCATGGCTTTTACATGCTGCAAATGTGAGAGGAAGCCTTCCTGACCCCACAACTCTTCCATTCTGCAATCACCTAAAACTAGTCTCATGTGGATGATATCAAGGTCTGCTGTCAGCTGGAGCACTAGCCAGGCTGCCCTTTCTCATGGCCACAAGGGTCAAGTGCCTGGATCACTGGGTACTCATACTCATTCTAAGGAATGAATTTTCTATGCCACTGCTGTTATGCCAAAATTCGGGCTGTATTCTGCAAAAGACCAAAGAACTCTATGAGAACAGAAAGAGTTTTAATTTAGACTGGTCACCTCTCATCCTGACTTGCAAGTCAGGGAAGTGGGTGTGGACCAGCCTTTGTTCGTAACTTATATACATTTTTGGTTTCCATGGTAACAGATTGGAATTTTGTAGACCTGGCCACACGTTGTTTTCCTTGTGCCACTTAACCAGGTCAGGTTCCAGTCATGAGCCCAACTACAATGATGTATACTTTCTGTACTCTGTTCTATATGTCTGAAATAACCCAGGCAGGGTCATAGGTTGTTATCTGGGCCCAGTGTTCTTTGTGTTCCTCTCAGATTTCTGTACTCTGTTCTATATGTCCCCCTTTAGATAACCATACATTTCCTTTATGGTTACAGTGTTTATCGAGGGCCAGGGAAGGGATGAAATAACCCAGGCAGGGTCATAGGTGGTTATCTAGGCCCAGTGTTCTTTGTCTTTGGAGAAGCATTCCAGGGCTAAGTCAGGACTGAAAAGTTAAATTTTTACAACCCCTCTGGGGTGTTTCTCAAGACACATTTTGAGGCTTGAATTAAGACTAGAATTATTTTATCTTAAAATGGTGTGCTGTTCTGGAACATGGTGCACTGGAGCTTTCTTCTCAAAGCAGTCTTTCATTTTTGCAAATTTGAGGCTGCACAGGGTGGAGTCCTGCTGTTTCTTGTGATGCCCTCAGCTCATCTTTCCTATTCTGCTCCTTCTCAGCAATTCAGTTCTTTTCTCTATCTTTGCAGTCCACAGCTTTACTGGGGATTCCTTTCTGGCCAAACACCTTTTTAAATCAATGTGATGGGTTCCTTGGTCTTGATTCTCAACATAGATCTGGTGAAAAGCTCGCAACAGTAGCCATTCCACTGCTTCAATGTTGGACTGCCTTGAAATTTCTTCTATAAGATTAAGTAGTCCCCAACCTTTAATCTCAGCCTCAGGTAAAGTCTCTGGACATGAACAAAATTCAGACAAACTTTCCATAACATACATCGTGTGGAGTCCAGCTTCCAATGCAGTCTTTCTTCCCAGTAGAAACCTCCAGAGTCTGGTCTTTACTGGTAGGATTTCTATCAGCCTTCTGATATTCTGAGTTCTGACTAGAATCTCCCATACAGTACACCCTGAGGTGTTCCATCTCTACTTTTTCAGCCAGCATCTCTGAAACTTTCCAAAGTCTTCCCACAAGCCATTCCCAAAGGTTCCTGAATTACATGGTCAGGCATAGTCACAGCAATGATCTCACTTCTCTGGTACCAAATCTGTCTTAGTCACTTTTCTCTCCTTGCTGAGATAAAATACCCAAAACTCAAAGTTAAAGGAAGAAAGGTGTATTTAGCTTACAGCTTATAGAGGTTTCAGTCTATAATCCACGGACTCCAAGGCAGGGTGGTACAAGGCAGAGGAGCAACAATTCATAGCAGCAGAAACCTCTTTCTGTCCCTTATATTGTATGCAGACTTTCCACCCTAGGGCAGGTGTAGCATTCACACCCCTTAATCCTGTCATTGGACAACAAATCAATTACAAACTCTAGATTCAACCAGTTCTGAAAAGTCCACCCCCCATGACCACATAAGTCTTTGGAGGGACATCTAGACACAAACCATAACACCCAGCATTGCACTGTGAATCAATCACACACTCTATGCTCGGCCACCGAAAAAGTCCTATAACCACATGAGACTTTGGGGGGAGATCTAGACACAAATCATAACAATGTCTTATATTTTTGCAGAAAATTTAAAATGTGAAAGTGGCTATGAGAATAAATCCACCCAAACTGGTGATTATTTCCTTCAAATTGTGTAATATAGGAGAAACAAAAATGATAATGCAGGCTATATTTTTTGTGGCTATGGTAGTATAGAACATGAGGCAAGGAAAGATAAATGCATCAGACAAACATGAGCAAAGAGAGTCCCTAGGGAGGAACCAATGCACATATTGCAAGGAAGAGAGACATTGGTAATGTGATTATTCAATATTAAAGATAAGGGGTTAGGGAAATGAATAGATGGTAGCTGTGATTATCATGATGGATAAAGAAGCCCATGGGGCCCCTTGATCTTTCAGAGGTAGAGAACCAAATGATAGACTTCCCAGAGTTCACAGGAGGTACATATTCTGTTCTCAGAACTAAAGTGACTCACAGTAGCCAAAAGATGGTGTCCATTTATTGTCCATTACAAGAGTAGCAGGGAAAATGGAAAAACAAAACCAGAAAAATCCCTTCTTCCACCTTAAGGAATGCCAACTAGGACATTTAAAATTAAATCAGTTTTCTGTATGGGCCAGAATGCCTAATTCCATTATTCAGGTGAGGCTTATTTGTAAACTAAATCTTTAAGTAACTTTCTCTTCAAAAGACATGTACATCAACATTTCCCACTGAGTGCCTGCCTGGCAAGCGCAAGGTCCTAAGTGTGAAAGAGAGCACTGTGAAAGAGAGCAAGGTCCTAAGTTCGATTCCCAGTACCAAAAACAAAAACAA